AGATTATCACCACCCGCTGACTCAGTCTTGTCCGCCAATCCATGCCGCAAACACCTGTCACTACTCCCACCTTGTGGTTACACACTGCTCGGTACAACTTTGCAGTCTTTCTTTAGCTGTGACACATTTGAGGGGTCACGATTCTTGATACGTCTCTAGCTTCTGTAAGCATCCTTTTTCTAATGAGGATGTATACGAAAGGGACTTCTATGCTGTCGCCTTCAAGTCTTTGTCCCTTCATTTAGTCACTTCCGCCATAGTGTTTTTTTAATCCTCTGTCATATTTTGTATCTCATGTCGTCTATATTAGGTGCACATCGTGTCGCTGTACATTTGCGAACAAAATAACGTGGTGTTCGCATTGGTTTTGGTTTAATTTTCTTTCACAAAAACGCTCGCATACAGATTATATCCCGTAGCGTGCGTCAGTGGGTTAAGTGGTCTGCCAACCACCGCGACCATGCTTTGGGAGGTGCAGAGGATGTGGATTACAGGTACGGTCTCTCTTCATTAATCATGGAATCGAGTTTCGGACGTTTACGCCCCCGCAGGTCAGCATCTCTTCTGATGTGGATCACCATTCCTCTTCCAAAAGTCGTTCTCGTCCTTAATATTATTACCATAACCCCTTTCTGTCAGCAACATTTGAGAGCGACAACAAAGGTGTTAACAGCTCCCGTGAGCAATTAACAGTCGGATTGCGTTCCCTAGAGTCCATTTTTTGCCCATGTGCTGGCTGGCCTTGACTACACGCTTTTGAATGAAGCTCGATTTTTCATACTTTCCACCGTTCATTACCACTTAACCATATTTACTTTGATGTTGGTTCGTACTAAGTCTTTAGAGTAGACTTAAAAATCGGATTTTACGCTCAGAGCTGGGGCTGAAGGCATTTTTGATGAGATCTTTATTTCCTTCTGCTGTGATTTTTCACCTATTCATTAATCTTTACTTCGGATCTTCCTTCTGCGTCACGACGGGATATCTGGTTTGAGTTATTCCTATAGGCGTGCCTATAAGTTTGTCCGTGTTAGTATTTGAATAGCAAATAGACCGCTAATATCGCTTTTTTTCAAGTCACTGTAAATCTTTAGTTAGAACATATTGTTTTATTGATACTCCCTTTTAGGCGAACGTCCATTTCCCTGTCGCTTTTGTCCAAAGGCCTTTCCGCAGAAGGATCACCTACGAGCACATATTCGGACACACACGGGTGAAAAGCCTTATCGCTGTCCGCAGTGCTCCAAGGCGTTCGCACAGCTTGGCAACCTGCATCGCCATGTCAAGACGCATCGTCAATAGAGAGAGCATGAGGTTAATTACAATCTCTCGTTCTCACTTTAATAGCCCACTCCTCCCGGGTCTTCCCTCATTCCTATCATGTGAGTCAAGGCTTCCTCTTCCCCGAGTCAATTTGTACCTTCGGTGAATTTGGATGCAGCTTTCTGCTTGATTTAACCGCATTTTAAAGTGTATCTCCCTAATCCACTTTCCCATCAATTAGAAGTAACAGATTGCTTTCCTGGGTCACAGTCTTAGTCGTTTTTAGAAATAACAGTGATGCTTTTAGCGTTTCGACTGCTTTTACTTATCGCTGTGGTTCTTCTTACCAAATCGGGAGCATTTTGTTTCCCATGTCATCGTTTACCTGATTTATGGAGCGCATCTTTAGTAAAAGTAGACATTTCTACGCCGCGTCTGCATTCGCGAGGGTCAGTTGGGAAGTGTACTATTTGTTGACTCAAAGATTTGTTCTCATGATCACTACCCAATTTCCATCCTCATGAGCGAACGAGACTTTCTTATTTTTCCTCTCCTCTTCTCTCCCCTGTTTATTACTTAGGGAAGGCCATTGTCTCACGGTTG